CCAAATCCCTTATAATTCGTAATTCCTATTTTAATAGTTTCATAGTTGTAAATTTGTATGAATCATAACAACAGTTTTCAAATAAACTCCATTCTATATTAGACTACATGGGGTGTGTGATAGACTTACCTCCTCGTGGTGCACCCTGGGCAACGTATACTCATACGACAAAGAAGTCTATAAAACGGCAGTTGACTTTTGACTTCAAACTACCATGGCCGACTGCTTGTCATATTCGACTCCTTCCGCAGTACTCATCTTACCTTTTTCTCTACCTTTGTGTACACTCTAGAAAGTGAAATATAAAGATTGCGAGTTTACCTAACACGTTCATTTATGGATCAACGCTAAGCAACTCTCCTAGTGGCTTCACCTGATGAGCTAACTAAGTCAAGTAAGGCGGAAGGTCATCAATTTTCGAAAAATAAAAATAATATCGAATTCCTATTTCTGATTTGTCCGTCAGTCAGTTTTTAACAATTAAGATGTGGGTTTTTACCTACTGTCACAAATATAGTTTCCTTTGATGGCCAATTTTCATCTTCTACCTTTCAATAATCCTCTCTTCTACATCGCTCAGTCAGACGGTTTGCATGGCTTCTAAGAATAAAAATGTAATAGCAGACAGTAATAACAGCAACAATCCTGCACATATGAATGACGAATTAAGTTATCGATACCAAAATTGCAACAGTGCAACAATCGATACCAATTTAAACCAAGCGAATTCCCGTTAATTTCCTATTCTAGACCTTCTAAAACCAATATAACCTGACTTACACGACCCCTTGCATCGCTTACTGATTCCTATATTCAGTTGTTCCCCATTGGCTAGAATTTGCGAACTACGTCTTTGGCCACTTTTCCAATAATCGCATCGCTCAGGTTAATTAACCAATAAAATAAAAGATATTTGGATGGCTTTGATTCAAAACTATGAACTGCATTCGTTGAGGACGATTTTTCAATAAACAATACGTGATCTAATATACCTGACATGAGCTAAAATTATTGCATCAACTCAGGAGTACAACTTTTCCCGCATCTATTATTCCAAGTTTCCTCAATCTACTAGCTTAAATCGATCAACAATGCATACTCTTTGTGATAAAATGTACACAACTTCTTTCCATTCTTTCTAATTGCAACATTCTGTGATAGCTTTGACGGACTTTAGGTAGCATTACCGTGTTAAAGGTCATGATAGTCTCGACTATCCTCTATTACGCAGTAGTAAAGATAGAAATTAAACTAGCACATTTTGGGCACTATGACATTAAAGACAAAAAGTACGTTACTTTCTCTAATTATCACGCCTCCCCTTCCCATTTACTGCCCTTTTAAACTCCTCTTATTTCTCCTATGATCCAAATTTATGTAAGATTCTTAATATCCCGAGTATCCAGTGAACAACAATTACATCTCACGACATACGCTACATTTTACATCGCACCTGGTGGTCTCAACCCTTTTCTAATACACTTAGCTGCTAATAAAAATAAAAAGTTTTAATTACAGGCATATATAAATTCATATACGTATATGTATGCAAATTATAAATACAAATTAAGTTAGTGTCCATACTCGTCAACTGTTTATTTTGGTGAAGTTAAAGAATTGTACAACTTGATACAGTGGGATGACTTTTGTTCTCTTCTTGCTCGTTTTCAATGGCACGCTCTAAAATTTCGAGAAAGTTCATTAAAATTTCATTTTCTATTTGCGGCCGCCAAACAGACAAGCGTCTACTGACAAGTATATCTTCGTCTTTAGCCTCCAAAATAATTCCAAGTACATTAGCAAGGCCGTCACAGTATTGGAGATTTCTAGGTATGAGTAAAAAGGTACTATAAATATATATAACGTTGGGGATGATAAGACCTGTTTCATCTCTCTTCATGAACTGAAAAAAGACATCCCGCCTGATTCCTCTTCCTGAAAATTTGTCAATATCAATAATGAAACTGTCATATTTCTTGACCCTTGATGGATGAAGGCAATTTCGGTCTCGGCAATGACAATTACTGCTATACTTATCGTAGACATAAATCTTAATACGCTGCGAATGAAGAGTGACCTTCGTTTTCCTTGATTTTCTCTCCATAATGGTAAAATCATTATTTTGAAGGTGGTGAAAATGCGTTAAAGAATTTAATAACAACGTCTTTATCGATCCTGTGTTGGCCACTACACAGATCTTTTTAGTTTTGGACGTGGGATAAGATACCGGCGAATTGTTATACTGAGTCATAACATTAACGAGCGCCTCCGTATTTGCCTGCAGATATCCATCCTTAATTGAATCATAGAATGTCAAATCCACCCACTCAATGTTGTGAACGTATTCACGGAATTGTCTTTTGCAATTATCTGATCTCTTCAGCCACCTGAGTGTTGGAAAAGTATCAGCAATCAGCACAATATCCGTGGCACTTAGATACTTGCTAATGTCGTTTTGTACACAAAAAGGAAGCTGTTCAAGTGTACGCATGCTACCTTGTGATAAAATGATTAAATGAGATTGGTTAAATAAATGTCACAAGACATTTGAATTTCTTGAATATTTAAGTTTCAAATGAATGAAATTCTTAGAGTAAAATGATAGGATTTACTACAATTCCGATGATTCAATTGAAACGAAGACTCATTATCAAAAATTATCTTCTGGTAACCCTTAAGCGAATTAAATAAATCCCAGCCAATGTAATGGAACGAATTTACTGAGTAGAACATTTGGAGTTAGGTGCAAAGAAATGTGCCATAGAGTCATGCCGACTTAAAGTAACAAAATGAACGAAAGTTGTCACAGTTGACAGCTTCATAAGTAGGCTCTCGACCGGGAATTTGGGATCAAAGTGAAAACTAATGTATATGGGGTTCTATCTCGAGCTAATGACTACTGCCTATGGATACTTGTGCAGCCGCGGCTTGGAATTATCTGGCATATAAAAGTGAAAAGTATTCATATCGCAATGTAGTTGCAGGTAAAAGTTGAAAGGGTCGAAAAAATATTTTACGAAATTTTCCCTCTCAGGTAATTTTTGGCGTGGAAAAAAACGTTAACATGTCTGAACGCAAGTACTTATTATCATTTTGCAGGTTTATTGCGATATCGACAAAGGCTTCGGGCGAAACCAGTGATTTGATACCAAATCTTATAAAATATGTAAAAAATTTCGAAAATTATCAGGAACCTTTAACCTTTTTTTATTTCAAATGGCAGGCGTTTTGATAGATATCATTAGCCATTTAGCTGACTTCGGGCTTCACAGAGGGAGGGTTCATCAAAGTAGCAGAAAGTCGAGAGGTGGGGAACAGAAGAGCGATTAACAGATGTAAAAGAGGTGGGGAGCAGAAGAGCGATTCACTGATGTAAAAGAGGCAGAAGGGAAGAGAAGAGCGATTAGAACAGAAGAGCGTTTCACAGATGTAAAAGAGGCAGACAGGGAAACAGAAGAGCGATTCACGGATGTAAAAGAGGCAGACAGATGACAGAAGAGCGATTCACAGATGTGAAAGAGACAGACAGACGCAAAGGCAGAGAAAAGGTAAGGTGAGTACTGTAGAAGTGGTTGAATACGATATATAGTGGAGTCATGGTAGTTTGTAGTGAGGAGTCCACTTGCTTTTAGACTTTGTTGCCGTAAGAGTATACGTTGCCCAGGATGCACCACATGAATCTAAGTCTATCGCCCACCCCATTGCTAAGAGAAAAATATATATGCGCATATGAATTTCAGTACCACATAATACCTGCATTTGGCGGCTAGGGAGCCGGGGGGGAAGGAGGGCGGGGGTTATTAACAAAAAAGGTACTGATGGAATGAAAGTTATGTAAACAGAATGTAGGCCTATTAAAAGTTCATTGGTTTGGACTCCTAAGTCCTTGGAAGTAATACGCCGAATTTGGCTCTTTTTGAAATTGGACAAAAGTTGTTCTGCGATCACAAAGTAAACCTCACATTCGGTAATTCCCCTCGTCCACACCAACATCGAGTGTTGTGTTTACATTTTTCCTGCTGTTGAATTTTACATTAATCGGTATAATTGATCAATTTCGTGATCGATTTTTACCCATAGGAATTCCCTGCAATTCAATATTCCACAAATTAATATTTTCACAAAGTACAGAATCTCTTTCTGATTTTTTATCGATGAGTAATCTTTCTTACATTCTGCTGGACTTTAGAACCACTTCCAATATTGGATAAGTCGCATATGCGATCAATGAGCTTCTCTTAACATTCGATCTATATTTACTTGCCGATTTTCTCTCGAATAGATCGCAAATCAACCACCGCAGCACATATCGTATCAACCAACCAGCCAGCTCGTGCCTCTTCAGTTAAACGCCACCTTCGTTCCCATGGTGGTGCCTCCATTTCAAAGACACCTGTCGCCAAACGTAATAGCAGTAGTAATATTACCAATACCCTACCAACTTCTACTTCCTCCTCTGCAGTTAAAACCGCAAATTCCTGTGATAAAAAGAGGACCAATACCACTACTAGGTAAGTAGAGAGAGAGAGTGTGTGTGTGTGTGTGTAGATGACAATTTCTACGAAAATGTTGAGTAGTTGGACTTTAACATTCTTCTTCCAATAGCAATCAGTCTATTGCTATTGGATGATTCTCATAACTCCCTAAACATTTCCAGTGAGGAATTTTCAACCCTTTGACAGTTATCATTAGCCCTTTAGTTGACTTCAGGCTT